TGTCTCTCAGGCCAGCCAGGCAGTGTTCCATGCTCCTCTGAAACTCTGCGGGTGCCGCACTCAAACCAAAGGGAATGCGTACCCATTCGTAGAGCCCCCAAGGCGTGATGAAAGCTGTCAACGGCCGGCTCTCTTTATCCAGGAATCCCTGGTGGTACGCTTTACCCTGGTCTAGCACAGAGAACCATGAGCTTCCACCCAGCGTATCCAGCATGTCCTGGATCCTTGGGATCGGATGGCGGTCAGGAACGGACTTGCGGTTGAGTTCCCTGAAGTCACAACAGAGGCGGAGGCTGCCGTCCTTCTTGCGTACGCATACCACTGGCGATGAATATGGAGACCGCGATGGGGTTATCCAGCCCTTGTTCAACAGATCCTGCAGGTATTCTTTCACTTCGTTGTGAAGAGGCTTTGGAACAGACATATATGTCTTTTGCACTGGGCTGGTGTCGTGGAGGGTGATGTGCATCTTGAGAGATGGGATCGAGCCTACATCGTCACCATTTAATGCAAAGGCCTGACATTCCTCCCTCAATACTTTCTTTGCTGCTTTCTGTTGAGTTTCAGTCAGGTGTTTGAGATCCACTGGGGGGTCCCATAACTTGGGTCTTTCATCTCCTTTGTCAGCAGGTTGTGCTGTGCCAGGTGTCTCTTCGGACTTGAACTCTGTGTTGTCTATCTTGCTGGGTGCTGGCTCATTCTCTCTGTGCTGAATGGCTGCTGAATATACTGTCTTGACTGATTCCAGGTGTCCAACAACCTTATGGCGATCCAGGTAAACTGTGTGGTCAGTGGTGTTTGTTATCGGGACTGGTATGTATGGTACTTTTCTCCCTGGGATACGCACCAGTACTTCATTGAAAATCACACCCTCTGGTGGGGGGTTGAGCATGTCCGGCGAAAACAGCATGTTTTGGCCCCTAGCTTGTGAACCCACATGTGCCCGAATGTAGATGATGGTGACTTGGTTAGCCGGCAGGGGCACCCTTTTCCCACCTGTGCGCGCCACTCCAGTTTCTGGATCACAACCGCTGTCTTGCATTAGCTTGACCACATTCTGAGCAGTTTTCACTGTTATGGCAAATGCTTTACTCACTTTGTGTGCTAGCTGCTTTCTCCCTCCTTTAGTCTTGCCCTCATTTCTGTTGATGACAGCCTCAATGACATTGTACCCTATAATGGGGTCACTGGCAACCGCTCCATCACTGGACACCAGTATAGGAACTTGTAGGTCACTCACCCTGTGGGGGTCACTGTCCAGCCTAAAGCTAACCTCGATCCAGCCAATGTAGGGGATAGGCGTGTCATTGGCAGCGAGCACTGTCAGGGTCTCTTCCTCCAAAAGCTCTGAGATAGGCCTTATGACTGAGTGGGGCAGATGTTTTAGTCGCCAAGGGTCATTTACTATGCTAGACTGGGCCCCTGTGTCCCACAGTACTTTAACTGGGTGGTTGTCCATGAAACAACTGACCATACATCTCTTTCCTACCAGTCCCACTAGTCGTGATTGGTCTTTGGGGGGTAGATACTGAACCTCGCTCACAGCTAGTGAGGCGTCTGTTACTGTCTCTTTGATTGTTATCTCTGGGGAGACTGTTGAGCTGACTGGCATTTGTTTCTCTTGGGACACTCTGTCTTGGACTACTGGTGGTCCCTCCCCTGTAGTCCGCGCCCATTTCCCGACAAGGGTCTCCGTGACCTGCATCCACGAGACAAGTGGCCCTCTTGCCCGCACTTGAAACAGTGTGAACAGTCTTCACCCACTCTCTCTTCTCTGCACTTTTGACACCCTCTTGGTCGCTGTTTCACTCCAGGTGGACGGAGACTCGTTTCCATTACAGTCTGAAACATCTGCTTCATTTCTGTGCGGAGTTCTTCCATTATCTGTTGCGTATTCATGTTGTCTGATTTAGTCTCTTTCCCTTTTACTGTTTTGACTGTCACTGTTGTGTTGGACTCCTTTGGTTTAAAGGGACCCTGAGTAGGTGCTGAGTCTGTCTGGATTTCTGATTGGAGCTCCTGCACCTTAGGGCTTTTAACAACAGTGCACCTTTTCCGCTTCTCCTGCCTCTCACTTTCAACCTTTGCAGCTTCATTTACCCTTTCTATTAGTTCTTCATCTGTTATACTCACGTCACTGATGTGGGGCAGGATGTGGAATTTCACAGAGTCACTTAATAGTCCAGTTTCAATTGAGCGGAGGAACTTGCGCTGAACGGTGGCTCTGCTGTACTCTTCCTCAGTGTCCTCATTTGTTGCTTTCCATAAAAGTTTCTCCTTGAGCTCAATTGCGCGGAATACAAAGTTCAGGGCAGACTCTTTCGGCTCTTGGGAGATATTTACCAGCTGGTGATAGAGGTCTGTGGAGCTGTCTACTTTGTAGTGACCCTTCAGAATAGTGAGAAGTGCAGAAAGGGTCAGCCCACGCTTAATCTCTAGCATATCTCTCAAGGGGAGCCCTGGACTGACAGCCCTGATGACAGCTTCAGTAATCTCAGCCTCTGTGTGTCCTCTTTCTATCCCCACTTCAATCTGGCGGACTAAACTAAGGTAGGATAATTTCTCTTTCTGCCCACTTTCTCCAATTTGCCCAGCAATCTTAAACTCCCTTCTCAATGTTACCTCAGGCAGCATGTGAGTTGGTCCTGGTCGGCTTTTGAATGGAAAGTCTGGGGTCCTTTGGAAAGGATGGTGTGGCAGAAAGTACTTTTCTCCAAGTCCTTTCTTCGTAGGGAACTCCTCTGCGGATGTCTCTTTGTCTGGCTGTAGGCATCCTTCGTTTAGTTTCTCAATAAATGTTTGTAAATCCGTAAAAAACTGACTAACCTCATCGTCCTCTTCCTTTTCCTCAATCTCATCCAGTACGTTTTCTGCCATCTTGATGAGCGCTCTTCGTGCCTTGCTGTAGGGCTCTCCACTGTCCAGGCCACCACATTTCAGGTACCTGCAGACGTCCATGAGAGATTCCTCCCCCAGCTGCCATAGGGCTGCGCTCACTCTATCTCGCAGAAGCTGGCTGTTATCCATCTCACAGAAGGTTGATCAAGGTTCAGCTCTTGATGAAGGAGGGGGTTTTGAGATGATGACGATGACACCTCTTCTGCCTCCTCCTGGCTGGCTCGCCAAAATATGTTGCACGTACAAGAATGACTTGACGTCCACTCCTGTGCAACACATTTAATTTCCTGTTGGTAATATAACAACACAGTCTTAATTAGAAGCGCTCTCCTTTGCTTGCAATCTTACTCTTAACTCATCACGTACAAACGACTTCTTCTTCTCTACTGGCGTTTACTACTGATGCCAAACATACCTAACACATCGACAGTGAAATGCCAGTGGCAAGTCATATACAATGCCATGAACACATATTCCAGTCTATACCACTTTGCATTTTCATTACACGTGTTTTCCCTCCTGAATATCCAAGGCATATGCTCAATTACATCTCTTTCGTTCACAGAAATTACAGGTGAGTAACATGTAAGCACATTAGCTGTAAAATATTCTTCTACTCAGATATACACAGACCCAGCCATTACCTGAAAACAATAGGAGAAATATGGTATGTGTTTAACTTAGCTCTAGCATGTATGACAATATGAACTTGTCTTTTTAGCACTTTTACACCCACATGAATTATAGCTATATTAACTAACATCTAACAGTACAGTATTTTATGCAGAACAGAATTGACAATAAAATCAACAGTGACCCTTGTATGAACTCTTGAAACACATTATAGACTCAGTAACTTAATAAACACAGTTTAGAAATATGACTAACGATTAGCTCCGCTTAGCATTAGCTCCGCTTAGCATTAGCTCCTACTCCCGCTGTTATTCTTCCCACAACTCAGCCGTACTTCACACAGTTTATTACCACACATAACTCTACAATATCGAACTGTTCCTTCATTTGAATGACTTGAGTTCACACTCATTATGGGTACCAGACAGTCTTTTAGCTTTTCGCTTTACTAGCGGACTAGCTAAGCGCCTGCTATTATTACAGAAACGAGGCGACACGCGCCCACACAGACACACACACGCACGGCCCTGAACAAGTTCACGGTCTCTACATGTTACTGTCTTTAAAACTAAGGCTCTACTCCATGTATTACTACTGTCTATTACCTAGTTTCTGTTTATGGACAGCTTACCTGTTGGTAATATAACAACACAGTCTTAATTAGAAGCGCTCTCCTTTGCTTGCAATCTTACTCTTAACTCATCACGTACTAACGACTTCTTCTCTACTGGCGTTTCCTACTGATGCCATAGTAAAATGCACAGAGCGCCCTCTGCTGACCATATTGTTCTTAGCAGGGAAAATAACCACAAAAAATTAGGGGGGGGACTAATATTACACTGTCTTCACAAACACCCAGTGCC